CCTAGTCTTCAATCGTTTAAGAAGTGCCTTAAAACCCATTTCTTTAGGAAAGCCTATGGACTCCCAGACTAACCGCTACCTCATATACCTGTCTCTTGCTCTCTCCTAAAGGGCAGCACTCTACTCTCTCCTCCAGCATTGCATCACTTCTACCTAATTTGACTGCTATTTCCTGTCCTAATGTGTTTTAAACCTCATTTGAGCAGGGCCCTCTTCAACCTATTGTCTCTGTAAGTTTTCTTGTAATTGTCCTGTTTATAGTTTAATCCCCCTTTCTTATAGTATTGTAAAGCGCTACGGAATCTGTTGGCACTATATAAATGGCAATAATAATAATAATAATACATCATCTCTATGCACAATTAGATTTTGAAAGATGTTGTAATTTAGAGTCTTTCTGCATTGGTTTTAAAAATAAATTGCTATGGTAACACAGAATGTGAAGATGAGACCCAGATGGCTACAGAATTATACTGAAAATCCAAATTATGGTAGCAATAATAACAATAATAATTATAAAAATGTAGCTGAGCACCTCATGCTCAGAGAAGATAACATTAGATATTAGATGACGTGATCCTCACCATAATATGTAAGAGTTGAATATTGTTCAGATTATTTGTACATCTATAATGAGTGTAGAGGTTACACAAGACGCAATATGCGCTACCATAAAACATGTATCCCTGCTGAGATTATACCAACCAGGCCAAATACATGAGCACTGAGTGTCCCTTATAAATGTGAATTTTCATCCACCATTAAAATGTGTTTCCTTTATCCATGATATATTATAATATTGAAATATATATCTTTTGTGGCAATCACTGTCAGCCAACCTGACCAGGGCAGCCATCAGAAATGTTGGGGCCCCTGACACAGCTCAAGGTCTGGGGCCCCCGGTGCCTGCACCCGGGTTCGTCCAAAGTGCTGTCCCCCCCACCCCCCCGAGTCCGCCCACAGGGATGCAGTGTCTGCAGGGCCGGTGCAAGGATTTTTGCCGGCCTAGACAAAAGTAAAGTTTGCCGCCCCCCATGTGACATCACAATGCCCCACCCATATGATCTGCCATGTGACTTATCACAACACAATGGCACATTTTTAAAGGGGTGGGGGAGACAATATTTAACAGTAAATATCTCACCTGCCTGCAAAATTAGCAATATGCAAATCTACCCGAATATGCAAATGAACCAGTCTTGCAATTCAGGTAGTGCATATTACTGTTGCTACCAACAGAGGGCACTAGACAAGCTCCATAGCCAAACCCACCTAGTTGGTAGCAAACCTCAGCAGTACAGGAGAGCAGGCAATACATTACACAGTACACACACACACACTATAAACAATTACATTACACACACCCTGCACCTATAATGGGTGCAGGGTGACTAAAAAATAAGATAAATAAAGCAGCCTTCATAAATAGTCTGTCTGAAGGTAGACTAGGGGCTTTAAAGCCAAATACATGAAAGAGTCATAGTCACAGGGGAGTAGGCTGGCAAGCAGGCCTCTCCAGGACCAAGTGGCGAAGGGCACTTCGTCACATTAACTAACACCAGTGCTGCAGTGCCGCCGTGTTTACATTAAAAGGCCTGCAGGGACAGGCTAGACACCAAAACCACTACATTAAGCTGCAGTGGTTCTGGGGACAATAGTGTCCCTTTAATGTGAGGTAAATTAGAGATTAGTGCCATGAATAATATACTAGATTGCCTACTTACAACCAGATGAGGACGATGATGGGCTCTAGCTGCCATCTGGCTCCACTGGTCTGGTGTAGAACAGGCTCTCTGGAGGCGGTTTGTAACTGTGGTCACAAAAATCAATGTTCTGGGAGAACGGGAAGCAGCTCCATTTTTTTGAAGGCCCTTTACACAGCTTAAGGTCTGGGTCCCAGGGTCCACCTTCATGTTCCACTAAAGAGTTTGTTCACAGGGGGTGGAGTGTGTGTGTGGGGGATGTCCTGATGTGTGTAAGGAATGCATTGTGTGAATCTGTGTTTGTATGTGTAAGGGCTGCAAGGTGAGTTTGTGTATGTATGGGATGCAGTGTGTGCGTCTCTAAGGGATGCATTGAGTGTGTGTAAGGGGTGCATTGTGTGTTGCTGTGTGTAAGGGATGCATTGCTTGTGTCTGTGTGTCTGTGTGTAATGCATTGTGTGTTTTTCTGTGTGCAAGGGGTGCATTGTGTGTGTGTGATGATGTCAATCTCTCCCCCTCCCCCCATCAATTTCCTTCTCCCCCTCCCCCGTCAATTTCCTTCTCCCCCCTCCAATTTCCTTCTCCCCCAATCTCTCCCTCCAATTTCCTTCTTCACCCTATCTCTCCAATTTCCTTTTTCTCCCCCCTCTCCAATTTCCTTCTTCCCCCCCCTCCAATTTCCTTCTTCTCCCCCTCCCTCTCCAACTTCATTCTTCTCCTCCTCCCTCTCATTTCCTTCTTCTCCCCCTTCCTTTCATTTCCTTCTTCTCCCTCCCTCTCATTTCCTTCTCCCTCCCTCTCATTTCCCTTCTCCCTCCAATTTCCTTCTTCTCCCCTCTCATTTTCTTCTCCCCTCTCTCCTTCTTCTCTCCTCTCATTTCCTTCCCCCCCACCAATTTTCTTCTTCTCCCCCTCTACAATTTCCTTCTTCTCCCCCTCTCTCTCCAATTTCCATCTCCCCCTCCCTCTCATTGCTTTTCCCCCCTCGACATCATCTTCCGGCTCCGGCATCAGTACGTGGTGCTCGAGGGAGCGTAAGAGGAAGCACTCAGCCAGGGAGAGTGCTCCATCACGCGCTCGTGCGCCCGCCGGGCGTCAGCAGGCCCTGAGGTGACCGGCTGCTGGGCCCCCCTGGAGAAGAGGCTGGCCCAGTGGGTACATACCGGGGTTGCAGGGCCCCCTGCGACCTGGTGTGTACACCACTGAATGTGGGGTCCGGACGACCTGAGCAGTCCAGGCCCCCGTTACAGTTGTCATGACCTAATGGCGGCCC